CTTTGCCCTTTTTCAGTCCCCAAGGCTCTGTCCATCAGCTCCTCCTCACTGGGGCGCTCCGTATTGGCAGCTCCATTTGTGTCCTTCTCACTTTCCTTTAGTCCATAGCCAGGATCTCTCCAGGGACCAGAGCAGGCAAAATGCCCTGGATTCTCAAGCCTGGTCACCAAAACTGCGGTGTCACTTGGCGGGGTTCCTATGCACGTGTCCTGCTTGTCGGGACCAAGTGTTTCTGACTCTCTGGCTCCAGAGACTTCCAGCATATCCGGGATGGGACTGTCCTTAATTTCTTCTAGTGGGCTGGAACTTTCAGGAGGCGATTTGCTTTGTTCTGAATCTGTAACAGACGATGGGCCTGGTAATATTAATGACGACACGGCATTATCTCTCATGACGGAATCCCAAATGCTATTCGCGATTAGCTGCCCGCTTTTCTCATTCAGCATGTGATATTCACGGGGAGCAGTGTCTGAGCTGTGCTCCGAAGAGGCAGGGAGTTCCCAATCTACCTGACTTGCCTCCGGATACTCTATGCCCCATGGTTCTACCTGTCTCACTGAAAATCGGGTTTCGGGCTCGGTACCTTCAGCCAGGTACCCTTGTGCCTGACCTTCACCACTGATCGCCACCCCCGCACTACAGTCGTCCCAGTCCAAGTCGTTATCCATGTCCGAGATGGTGGCAGTGGACTGCGTGTCCTCCAGAATCACTCTGTTCCACAAGTCGAGACTGTCGGGGGCTGCCTGCCGCGAGCTGGTGGTGCTGTGCAGAAGCGTGAGCTGTCGGTTGGTTTCATTGTACAGCTGCATCATGCTGGGGTCGTCGTAACTGGACTGGCTGCTTTCCCCAAAGTCCTCCTCCGTAGAGATGGTCTTCTCATCCGTGGGCTCTGCCTTGAGTGAGTCTCTATCTGGGCTGTGAGTGGCATTTATTTCAGAGCTATCATCTGAGTGAGGTGAAGCCCACATGTCCAGGTTTCCAGGACCTGAAATGATGCGATTTCTAGGTGGCTGCTGCTGTGATTGAGGGGGCATTTCAGGGTCCCCTGGGGTAGAGCTAGCATCTTGTGACTCGAAAAGGCCCTTGCTTTTGGTTTCTTTCTCGTCTCCAGCAAACGTTGGTGACGTATAGGAGTCAGAGGTGGAGTAGTTGGTGCCTAAAGGGGATGGCACCGAGTCTCCCCCTATGTTGGATGCACTGTAGTCAGAACATTTATATGACAAGAAGGAATCTTCCCAAGGTGCTAGGACGTCAGACCCTCCTTTCTTGTGACTCTGCTCAAAAAGTTTCCAGGAATCTACATTTTCATACATCTTCCCTCTATTGTCTGGATCCACTGAACCATTCTGATCTTCCTTGGTGAGCTGAGAACTATTCCATGCATGATCCACATCAGGCCTGGAATTTCCAGATATAAGGACATCGTCTCTGGAGTCGTGGTCCTTCTTGCCCCAGATTTCTGGAACTGCTTCATTATTTGCCCCACTGGGTGAACGGTCCACCAGGTCTTCCGAAGAGAAAGAAAACCCGCTTTTGGCCATGGCCCACTCCTTCGGGTCCCTCGCCGAAGGTGCCTCACCACTCGTTGGGTGCAGTGTCCAGGTGTTTTTCAAAGCTTCAGCATCATCTTCTTTACCAAACGCGCTCCAGGCTGGGAACGATGATGCAGCTGCGGGTTCGCCATCCTCTGTGGGATTTCCCCACGGCTCGGGCATCGCGGTGGGAGAGCGATCAGAACGCCACAAAGCAGCGAAGTCTTCTATCAGGTGGTTTGTTCCTTGAGGACAAGTGCTCGGCAAATGCGATTTCTCAGGGGACACGTTCTCAAACTGCACGTTTTCCTCATTTTGGTCTTGAACAGGATTGCTGCCCAGCCCAGGCTGACCAAATTCTGACTCCCAGGGACTTGACTTTGGGAGCTCGAGACTCTTTGGTTGAAATATAGAATCTGAGGCTCTTCTATCAACTGGGCTTGGCTTACGATCTTTCCATGACTCAGGGCTCTGGAAAACAGATTCCTGTTCACTGGAGCTCCATGCATCAGCAATATTTTTAGAGTCAATTTCCAAACCACCCCACCAGCTGCTGCACCGTGCCCGGGTGGGAGGGGGTCCTGGGTTGACAGTTTTGGGGGTCACGTCTTCTGTATAGAGTAGAGTTGGTTCTTCAATGGATGGCGAACTTTCTACAAAGCTATTCATAGGTGTTGGTGGGACCCTCTTTCCAATGTTTTTCAGACTTTCTGGTGAAGGAGATTCATCTCCCACAAAACCCGTCAGGGTCAAATTTCTTTCAGAGTTATCCCTGGGACTTCTTGTCTCTGGACAAACTCCTCATCAAATTCCACAAGGCTATCTTTGCCAGCTCCTGACAAAAGAGAACTGGATGAATAATTCGATACATCCATCCCCATCCCATTGAGTCCTTTAGGTCCCGTGGGGAGATGTCCTTCGGATGAATCGCTGTTGGGGAAGAAGTCATCTGTGGGGGAGTAGTCGGCAGAATGGGAAGACGGTTGGGACTGCCCAGAAACCATGGGTGTGGGGTCAAAGTTGAAAAGGTCAAAGGATTCACTGTGTTCTCCAGACCGGGCATGCTCCTCTGCTACTGGCCCTTCAGGGATAGGGCTGTAAGAGTCAAACCCTGGGAGGAGGCTGTGGTGAGGCCCAGCACCTTCTCCCACTGGACTGTCATCGCTGAGGAAAACTGAGCTCTCCTTGGATGAGCGGCTGCTCCTAATGGTGGCCAACCCACTGTCTGGGCTAACGAGGTCTGCGTTGACATCCGCCTGGGCCTGGTTAGAATCGTTGAGATCTGGAGGGTTTTCCATGAAATTCACAGAGCTGGGCTGTGGCTCTATGTCAGAACCATATAACTCCACAATTCCGGAAGACCCCTGGGAGAGTGGGGCGCTGCCTGCCACTGCCTCCGTGGAGGATGTCCGGCTGTTGGAGGCCATCTCTGGACACCTCCTGTTGATGACTTCCTTGACCAGGAGAACCACCTGATCACAAGTCACCGCAGGGTTCTCCTGCTGGTACACCAGGATCTCGTCACAGCCGCATTCAAAGGGCTCCAGCTCAAGGCAAGGGCTCTGGCACTCTTCCAGCTCACAGCAAATCTGTCGGGGAGGCACAGGGATTTGTGTGAGCACTCAGGCCCTCTTTGCTCTTTGCAACTTGTCTTTCTTAATTTTTTGTAATGTAAAATTAATCTGCATTCATCTGTCTTGAAAGAAGACAGAGAACTGAGAACTGCAGAAAGTAAAACATGGAACGTCCCACTTAATACACCACCAACTCCATCTCTAATCCCATCAAATTGTCTTTTCATTGGACCCAAAATCCAGCTGCTCGGTTTTGCTGACTCCAGAAAGTTACAGGTAAAGAGAGGTAAGATCACTTACATCCTTTCTTCAGTGTAACTTAATACCATCTTCTAACAGGAGCAAAATTCAGCTTTGCAAAAAGCAGAGATAATGCTGATTACTGAAAAAACTAGGGGAAAAGTACTGGCATGAGGGAAAATGAGGCAGAAGAAAGGCTCTGGTAGGTAGCAGGCAGCCAGGACCTGATTTAACCTCTGAAAGCCTCAGAAGGCAAAGGAGAAAGTAGGGAGGAGAAAGCAGCTACCAGCGCAGAGCTTTCTCAACAGCACTCAGGCCCCCGCTGTCTCCTCCTGCCCCAGGGAGCATCAACACGGAGCCCAGAACAGGCAAAACTGCCTCGGAAGGCGGGGAGATGAGTGAGTCAGTGTGGGGCCAAAACCAGGCTGCAGCTCTGTGATTTCGTAGGACATGTTGAGGATATTTTGCACGTTTGAAATGGCCCCATAGGATCAGTGGAGGTAACAATAACAACAATAATAGTAACAACTACAGCGCTCACACAGATAGTAATAATAAAAGTGATTAACATTTATTCAGTGCCTTCCTAGGCCCTGCACAGTTCTAAGTTTTACGTGCAGTATCTCCTTTAATCCTCACAGTAACTCTATACGGTAGGAACTTTTTATCCCCATTTTGCCAACGAGGAAATAGAGATACAGGAAGGTTAAATAACCTGACCAACAACACGTAGCTAACAAGTGACAGAGTGACATTTTGAACTCAGGCAGTTGAGCTGCAGAGGCTGTGACCACATGGACAAAGAAATATTCCTCTAAGGCAGTCTTGACTTTGTGTTGCTCAAGATTTCAAGCAGATGTCGTTGGGCGATGGGTGGGGAGGGTTGCGGAGGTGGGGGGAGAGGGGAGAGGCAGAGCGGAGTCACCTCAAGTGCTTATAATGGCTTCATCCACTCTTCTACCTTTGTCTGTTACAGGTTAATCAATGTTTAAATTGATTTTAAAAAATCAATTGATTTTAAAAGTGACTGAAAACCACCATATTGGAGGCTTAGGAGACCCAAGTCCTGTCCCTAGGAAACCAGTGACCAAAGATAAAATTCAGCTTTAAAACCCAGTGCAGAACAAAGCACTGACAAAGGTACAGGCTGGTGATGAAGTGCACAGGTATATGTGGGTCAGAAGAGAGGGTACAAATTTGTCTGCAGCAGGAGAAGGGGGCTCGTTCCTATTTGGACCGGAGAGGGCATGGAGAAGCTCGAGCACCTACACTTGTACATCTAGAGAGCCAGGATGGGTGTCTTTGGGGACAGAAGGGAGGATGTAGAAAAGAAAGGAGTTGAGACTTCGCTTCTAGGCACCTGTGGGTAGACCAGGTGTCTAATCCATTAGTGAGGAAAGACAAGTGATAAACCGTTCTGTGTCCATGTCATCCATATTACAATAAATTACGTATACTGTCATATTGGTTATTAAGTACACCAGGTTTGATATAGCCAGTGCCTATATTCACTAATTTTATCTACTTCTTATATTATTTCCAAAATCTTGGGTTGAAAGACGCATCTATCAGCCAAGAAGATCTGACTGATGACCCAGTCAGAATTTTAGTGCCTGGAAAAAAACTAACTTTAAAACAAAATAAACACATATACAAATGTTTTTCTCAAGGGATATCCAGAGTGTCAGGGCGGTTGTGTCAAAAAAAAAAAATAACTTCGATTAAAGCATCAGATCACCAGTTACTAAACACGGCACCAAACAGGCATTCAGACAGAGACTAAACTTTATTAGTTATTACCAGGTAGCGGTCCTCAAAGAAAACAGCACCCAGAGAAAGCCTTGCCTTTATCTGCGTGAAAGCCATGCGATCTCTCTGTGGATTCAGTCAGGAAGTGGTTACTGGGCTCTTTCAAAAGCCCCTATGTGGGGTGAAGGGCGGCAAAGCTTATAAAATAAATGTCATGGAGATACAAGGTACAGCATGGTGAGTCTAATTAATACTGTATTACATGTTTGAAAATTGCCAAGAGAGTAGAGAGTAATCCTCATCACAAGAAGGAAAATTGGAGGGAGGGTATAGCTTGGTGGTAGAGTGTGTGCTTAGCATGCACAAGGTCATGGGTTCAATCCCCAGTAATTCTGTTAAAAAACACACACACACACACACACACACACACACACCACCTAACTAATAATAAATAAATAGACCTAATTACCTCCCCCCTAAACAAACAAAAAATTGTAATTATGTATGGTGATGGATGTTGACTAGACTTACTGTGGTGATCATTTCAAAACATGTAAATATAGAATCATTATGTTGTACACCTGAAATTAAAATAATGTTATATGTCAATTACACCTCAGTTGGAAAAAAAGGGCCAACATTTATCTCTGACAATTCCATTCAGATAATTTTTTGGTAACACAGCATCAAAACTAAAAACCTAAGTTAAAGCACTGAAAACTAATTTAATTAATACAGCATGAAAACTAAAAACTAAAAATCTGAATTAAAGCACTGAAAACTAGTCAATCAATCAAACAATCTGAATGTGCAAAATATCCCCAACATTTCTTAAAACTCAAATTCTAGGACCTTATCTTTTGGGCCAATTTCTTTAAACCACCAATCCATTCCCATTTTCCACCACATGTTCTGAGAGCCAGCAGACAGGGATGCAGTGAGATGTGCCGGATCAAGGAGGTCCTTACCTGATTGCACAGTTCTAGGTTCCCAGAGTACACAGCGATCTGTCGTCTGGGCTGCTGCTCCTCTGACAGGTAGCTGGCCAACAGGATGAGGACATCAAAACCAAACTTGTCTGCGAATGCTTTCAAATCACTGGTGATACTGCTGTGAAATGTACAGTTCTGAAACAATAGGCAATTTGATATTAGTGTCAAACTGTGCAGCTTTGGGGAGTTGTGCCACAAATTTGTCCAGTCTTAGGATATATTACCACAGATACTTATTCTTAGATGCAAATGATATAAACACTTTGCTTTGAAAAAGGCTGGAAACTTTTCATGTTATGGCTAAAAATACATTTTGCTTTTTTGTTTCCCTAAACCAAGAAAGGCAGGCATCTTTGCTACTATTAATAATAGTTTAGAAAGGAACAAATATCTTAACATTCTTTTTTCCTAAAATATTTATTTGAATATTGACTTTGTAAAACATACTTTTCCTTTTATTGTTCATCGGATATAGGAATGCCTGCTGAATATTAGTATAACCCACTAGGAAAACAGGAGGAAGTAATTTCTCTTTTCTATTATTATTCTGTAATGAATATTATTAAATCCAAGCAGAGTTCCTGAGGATGGACTTAGCTGAGTTTACTGAATGCTCTTTTTTTTTTTTTCAGGGTTGAGGAGGTAATTAAGTTTATTTATTTTATTTTTTAGAGGAGGCATTCGGGATTGAACCCAGGACCTCTACCACTTGAGCTATACCTTCCCCCTAAAAATCCAAGTCATTCTTTTTTTCCCTTTCTTTCTTTTTTTTCCCCCCTGAATGCTCTTTATTCTGGTGTAGAAGTCTGGGAGATTTGTGTTAGGGCTGTGAGGTCAGATCTGCTTGCTCTAAGTGGTAGCTAAGGAGAAATGAATAATTGTGGGAAAAGGACCCGCCAGCACAGAGTCTCCAGACCCATGGCTCACACTATCTGTGGAAATGTGCTGGCATTTTTGAGTGTTATTAAGTACAACAAGAACCACTTTGCTGACATGGTTGTCTCTCTTTCTTAAAAAAATACAGTGAAGACCGTATGTTAACCTTTAGCATAATACTTGGCACATTCTCGTTGCTCAAGAATTGCTAAATGACTAGAGGGACATATACACAAAATCAACCTGTGCTATATAATCCTTTGTCATAGTATATACATAATAGCATATATATGATAACCATATATAATCATCAACTGACAGTCCATTGTTCTACTCAGTGAAAATCACCATGATGTGAACTCAAGAGATATAAAGAATTCTATTAGTTTTTTCTGATTACAAAGCCATCAAAACCAGGCATGACACTGATACAGCATTAAAGCAGTATAGAAACGTGTCCCATATGAAGTGTGCCATATACTGTCTCCTCCAATAACCAGTATGGAGAGTTAAACAGTGCAATGCATATAGGTACCTGGTTTTTTTTTTTAATGTCCATATTGATGTTTATGTATGGTAGTTGTTTGAAACTGGTGAATTTGATTTTTGTGACTACTTAGCAGCCACTTAAAGTATCCCATAATGCAGGTACTCTGTAATTCTGCTGAGCTGCGTCTCAAGGTCTATGTGATCCCTGAGGGCATACAGCACATGTGGCATCAGGCAGGCCCAGCCGGTCACCAGCTTCCACACCTCAGAGAGATTTGCTGTCTACTCCTGTGGCTACTACTCTCATTAGACATTTCATGAGGCTACTTTGTGGTTACAAGGAACTGCACGTGGGGATTCACAAAGATCTCAGGATATACTGCTGATGAATACAGAGGATCTACAGGACTGACTTGGTAATGAAGTTTATGATGTTCAAATACAACAGCTTTTGGAAGCATGTGTTCCAAAATGCATACTGTCAGCTTTCGTGACTGTAATTCAGTGTCCAAGTGTCATAATAACAATCTTTATACAGATATTTTTTAAAAATTAATTCACCCACAGAAGTAGATATTTGGAATGAA